TTTACCTACTCCTATGTCCTCAAGAGTTCTGCCTATTTTCCAGCAGATTTAGTGTTTTTGTTTTAAAACTCAGATCTTTCATTTATTTTGATTTTAAGTTAGTGCATGGTGAGAGACATGGGTCTAGTTTTAGTCTTTGGAATGTGGGAAGCCAGTTTTTCCAGCACCATTTATTAAAGAGGCTATCTTTCATCCAGTGGGCATATCTAGCCCCTTTGTCAATGATAAGGTGGCTGAGTATGTTTAGAGTTGTTTCTGCATCTTCTAGTCTATTCCATTGATCCCCAGGTCTGTTTTTTGCCAATATCATGCTGTTTTTATCACAGTAGCTTTGTAGTATAATTTCAAGTCAAGGATTGTGATGCCCCCTGTCTTGCCTTTGTTGCCCAGAATTTCTTTTGCTATTCTGAGTCTCTTCTAGTCCCAAATGAATTTTAGGATTGTTTTCTCTAATTCTGTGAGATATGCTAATGGTATTTTGATTGGAATTATATTAAATCTGTATAACAATATTGGGAGAATGGCCATTTCACTATGTTGATTCTTCCTACACACAAGCAAGGCATATCTTTCTTTTTTCTGATATCCTCTTCAATTTCTTTTTTCAGAGTACTGTAGTTTTCCATCTAAAGATCCTTTACCTTGTCAGATTGATTCCTAAGTATTTCATTTTTTTTCGATGCTATTGTGAAAGATGTTGATGCCCTAATTTTTTTCTCAGTGAATTTTTTGTTTGTGTGTAGGAATGATATTGACTTTGAGTGTTCACTTTGTATCCAGCTATGCAAATGAATTTGGTTATTAAATCTAGAAGTCTTTTGGTGGAATTTTTGGGATCTTCAATGTAGAGAATTGTATCATCCTTAAATAATGATGATTTAACTTCTTCCTTTTCTATCTTTATTTCTTTCTTTCTTTGTCTTGTCTAATTTCTGTGGCTAATATTTTTAGAACTATATTGAATAAGAGTGGTGACAGTGAGCATTCTTGTCTTATTCCTGATTTTAGAGTGAAAGCTTTCAGTTTTTGACCATTGAGTGTGATGTTGGCTGTTGGTTTGTCATAGATGGCTTTTATCAGATTGTGATAAAGACCATCTAGTCCAATTTTCTGTAGGGTTTTCTTTTTGTCATGAATGGGTATTGAACTTCGTCAAATGCTTTGTCTGCATCTATTGAGATGATCATACGGCTTTGTCCTTGGCTCTGTTGATACTGTGTATTACATTTATTGATTTGAGCTTGTTGAACCCTGAATGCCTGGGATGAATCCTACTTGGTCAGGGCATATACTATTCTTGATGATTTGCTGCATTCTTTTTGCAAGTATCTTATTGAGGATTTTTGCATCTATGTTTATTAGGTAGATTGGCCTGTAGTTTTCTGTTTTGGTTGAGTCCTTCTCTGGTTTTGCTATCAGGGTAATACTTGCTTCCAGGAATGATGTGGGGAGTATTGCTTCCTGCTATATTGAAGAGAATTGGCATTAGATCTCTGAATGTCTTGTAGAATTAAGGAGTGAAACCATCAGGGGCTGGGCTTTTCTTTTTTGATAAGTTTTTTTCTTCAATTTCATTGACTGACATTTGGGTTACTCAGAATTTGAATGTCTTCTCAATTCAGCTTTGGTAATTCGTATTTTTCTAGTAATGTGTCCATTTCTTCTGTGCTTTCCATTTTATTAGAGCACAATTTCTTGAAGTAGGTATTCATAATCTTCTGCATTTCCAGAGGATCTGCTGTGATTTCACCCTTTTCATTCCTAAGTGCATGAATGTGAGTCTTTTCTTTCCTTTTTTGATATGGTTGGCTAAGGGTGTATCAATTTTATTTAATCTTTCAAAGAATCAACTCTTTGATTCATTGATTCTTTTTAATGTTTTCTTAATCTCAACTGCATTAATTTCTGCCTGATCTTTATAATTTTCTCCCTCATACTAGGTTTGAATTTTACTTGTTCTTTTTCTAGAAGTTTGAGATTAAACATTAGGTTGTTTATTTGAGCTCATTCTGTTTTTATGATGTGAGAGTTCACCGCTATAAATTTCCCTCTTAGGACTGCTTTTATTGTGTCCTGTAAGTTGCAGTATGTTGTACTGGCATTATCATTTAATTGTTAATACTGTTTAATTTCTTCTTTTAATTTCATCTGTGACTTGTTGGCTGTTCGGGAGGGTGTTAATTGATTTCCATGTGTTTATTGAGTTTTTGTGATTTCTTTTGCCATTAATTTCAAATGTCATTGCACTATGGTCAGATAAGATGTGTGGGATAATTTCAATTCCTTTGCATTTACCCAAGCATGTTCTATGGGCTGGTATGTGGTCTATTTTGGAGAATGTCCCTTATGCAGCTGAGAAGACTGTGTATTTTGATGTTTTGAGGTGGAACACTCTGTAGATATCTATCAAGTTGGTTTATTCACAAGTTTGGTTCAGTTCTGATATTTATGTTGTTTTTTTGGCTAGTTGGTCTTTTTTTGAGAGTGGTGTGCTAAGGTGCCCTATTACAACTGTGTTAGTGCTTATTGGATTTTTCATGCCCATTAATATTTGTTTTATATAGTTAGATACACCAATATTTGGTGTATAAATATTTATAATTGTTATCTTTCTTCTTGGAGCTTCCCCTTAACAAATATGTAGTGAGCTTCTTTGTCTCTTTTGATCAGTCTTGACTGGAAGTTCACATTGTCTGCAAATAGAATAGCTACGCCTGCTTCTTTCTGGGTTCCTGCCACATGGAATATTGTTTTCCATCCTTTCACTTTTAGTCTATGAATTTCTTTTTCAATTAAATGCATTTCTTGTATGCAGCATATTGTTAGATCTTGTTTCTTGATCCATTCTTCCAGTCTGTTTCTTTTGATTGGTGAATTGAGACCATTTACATTGATGGTTATAACTGATATGTATTGGCTTGTCCTTATCATAATATTTTCCTGCTGTAGGTTCCCTGTCTTTTGCCTCTGTTTGCTTGTCCTGCCTGGTGGCTTCTTTCTGTTGCTGTTATTGGAATTGTGGTTTGCATTATCTCTTTCTAAAAAGCTCTTCAGAACATTTTGTAAAGCTGGTTTGTTGGTCATGAATTTCTTCAGTTTTTCTGTCATGGAAGTATCTTATTTCTCCATTAATTTTGAAAGATAGATTTGTGGGGCACATCAATCTAGGTTGGAGGTTGTTTTCTTGTAGGGCTTGAATTTATTCACTCCAAGCTCTCCTTGCCTTAAGAGTTTGTATTGATAAGTCTACTGTGTTTCTGATTGACTTTCCTTTATAGGTGATTTGTTTCTTTTGTGTAACAGCTTTTAATATTTTATTCTTGTGCTGAATTTCTGGAATCTTGATTATCATATGCCTTGGTTTAGATTTATGGCTAAATCTATTTATGGTCATGGCTATTTGGAGTTCTATATGCCTCACTTATTTGTGTGTCAAATTGTGTTTTTTCATGTTTGGGAGGATTTCTGCCATTACTTTTGTGTACAGGTTTTTTATGGTGTTTGCACACTCTCCAGCTTTTTCACTAACTCCAATCAAACTTATATTGTTTTTCTTTAAATCATCTTCCAATTGTTGGATTGATTTTTCATGGTCCCTTGCTATTATTAAGATATCTTTCTTTTCATGGTCGGTAACTGCAATCCTGTCTCCCGGATCTGATAGTCTGTCCTCATCTTGATTCAAATGATTGTGTAAACTTTCAATGAAGTTTTTAATCTCCTGGATAACTGTTTGAATCTACTTAATGGATTCCATTTCTTTCCTATGTTGGGCATTCATGCTTTCCATAATTTTCCTAAGCTCCTCTATTTTTTTTTAACTGTGTCTACTCTAGATTTGTTGAGCATATCCTTTATTTTGATTGTCCTTTCCTTTTTTACCTGAAATATTATTTTCTCTGTGCCCTCATCCATCTATTCTTTTACTTCTACTGCTATCATTTCAGAAAGCTCAGGTGGGTGGCTTCAATTTCCTCCATCTTTTTGTCCCCTGGACTTATCCTGAGTGGGCTGGAGGTCTGGGCTTGTATTTTGGTTCTATAGCTTGTCATTTCTATTTTTTAAATTTTGTTTTGTTTTCTAAGCTGTTCCTTGTAAATTGTTATCATATATAGCTTTATCACTACCATCGAGGCTTCTCTAGGAAATGTCTCTTCCTCAGAGATGTTTTCCAGGTATAGGTGGTTCTTGGTCTTTGTGTCTACCCCATGATCTTACCTTCCTAATCTATTAAGGTTGAGAGGTTGCTATCTATTTAGCTCAACACCCAGTCCTTTGATACTGGACTATGGTGATAGTTGTGACCCCAGACATTTACAGTGTTGTCGTACAAGGGAAAACAACAGGTATGACACCCTGGCTAATGTACAATTAGCAATAACAACAGAATCAAGGACAACCTAGCAACTGATAAACTGGTAACTATTAGTTTGGTACCTTTAACCATACAAGCAAGCTCTACTGTTATATAACAAAATCCAACATAAATCAGGAACTTGTAATGAGTGAGTTTTTATTTAGTAGAGCAATTTTACCTTGTGTCTGGGTGGGGAGGGCTTTAAGAGGGATAGGGGACAAATCAGTGAGTTCCCTTGTGGTTCCCCTGTGTCCTGCAGTCATGTTGTTTCCTCTCTGGGATGTTGATCTCTAGGCTCTGGACAATTTGTCTTGGGGAACCTATGCTGCTGGCACTGGCACTCACCTCTCTGCCATTTTTTCCTTATCTATATGATGTTCTTGAAAAGGTAAAATTCTGACAACAGAAATCACATCAGTGGCTGCCATGTGCTGGGATGGGGAGAGAGGCTGGCCACAAAACAGCACAAGGCATTCATCTTGGATGATGAACTGTTCTATGGTTGATTGTAGTGATGCTTACACATATAAAAACTACAAAACTGTGCATCAGAAAGGCTAACTTCCTTCTGTATAAATTATATATTAATAAAAAATTTTTCTAGAGAGAATTATATCATAGTTTATTATGAACGAAGAAATGTGTTCCATTGAAAGCCATTGTTTCCAGGAGACAGCATCATGGAAGTAAAACTCACACCTTAGGTGGACCTGGAAGGAAACAGAAACTTAGAAGTCATGAGCACAGAATTGCAGGTGGTGAACCCCCAAAGCAGCAAGCTTAGCCCATATGGCCTTACATCAGAGGGCTGCTGCTCAGTTCACCTCCTGCAGGGCCTTCCCCGACCCTGCCTGTCAGACATGGCCACACTGTGCTCAGCACCCTCCACTCTTACCAAGTGTACTTTTCGTGTGACACTTGCATGAACTCATTCTTCCCACATTCTCTGCCTCAGTCCTGGGAAGCCCCTGTGAAGGTGAAGGTAACCGCATCTCCACTGTGTCTGCATCCAGGTGGCTGTGCCCGGTGCAGCTTTGTGCTGCAGAATGAACATGTCCTCAGGTGCACTGGACTAGTGCTGGGTGGGCAGGAAGACAGCACACAGGGCATTCTGTGACTTCAAGAGAAAAACCAAAGCCATGACAATGGATTGAGGTTAGCAGCAACCTACCTGCAGATTTATTATCATATGAGAGAATCAAAACTATTTCAGCTACTGTTGCATGGAGTTTCTTTTATTTTGAGTTGAATACTAAGTATAATAGAGATTTTGACAGTACCGAAGCCAAGACCCTAAAGATGATCTAGGCAGAGCCAGACATTCCTATTGTTTGGGAGTATAGATGCTGGCTCTACCCTCTTGTCCTCCTGCTATTATCTACCAAAGGGACTGAACAGAACAGATTCTTATAAATATATTGGTTCACCCTAGATCGCATGCTTCTGAGGAAACAAGAGAAATTCTCTCCCCAGTCGCAAAGAAAAGAATCTCACATTTTCCAGATGAATCTTCACATTGCAGATAATAACCACACATCTGCTCGATCTCGTGAAAAATAGTAAGAGCACTTTTAAAACATTAACTCCAAAACTTACCCAAAATATTAGCTCATTTTGTCATCATGGCTCAAAAGCAGGATTCTTTGATTCTCCTGTCAAAAGCATAAGTTAAAAACAACGAAGAAATGGTGACACAGAGATGTGGCCTCTAGGCCTGGCCGAGGTTTGGGGTTTTAGGCTGTGTGGCCCTGAGCACATCTAGGGTGCTGTGCCCAGGTCTCTGCAGAGCACAGGAGGTGAGGCTGGGACAGAGCCAGTTCCTCGCAGGCAAAGCTTAGAGGGGGGGAGAGTGCAGTGGGCAGGGAGAACTTCCGCTGTCCAGTGCCCTGCATGGTCCTCTCCAAGCCTGGAATGTAGAGCAGGGAGGGGTGACATTCTGCAGCTTAGACCTTTTATCTGTTGCTAAAGGTAAATATGGCAGACTTTCTGGGACTCCTCTCCATTCCACATTCACTTTTTGAAAGACAGAGTTCTTCTCCTGGCAGGAGGAGGTGGTTGCTGAGGACCTTAAGCAAGCATATCTCTCAAGATGCTCTGTGCCAGCCTCCTCTGACAGCCTTATCCCCACCATTACAATCTGCTTGCACCCCTGCATGCTCTGCATTAATAAAAAAAAAATTTCTTTTCTCTCTCTGTTCCTCACCCCCTTTCATCTCATCTAAAATTTTTTCTCAGTGAACTGATTGCAAATACTAGCATAGAAACCATTCTGATTAAATTAATCCCATGCCCACAGTGTATCTCCCAGAGCCCTCCCACAGCCTTCTACAGCTTATTGCATTTAAAGAAAGATGTGATTCAGCCCTCACCACCATAGCTCCTGTGCAGGAGACTGTGAAGAGGCCACGTGGGGCCTAGAGGGCCCTCAGTTTCCTGAAGCAGCCAGAACTCACCTGTGGGGCTGGAGCCCTGACTCACCGAGGCCTCTGAGGCACACAAGAGCTCTTCCAACAGCATGGAGAACTCCATTCACATATACTGAGCCAAAGCATCCACCCAAAGAGCATTATTAATGAGTCATAACTTAACAAGAAATGAAAGGAAATACTGTGCATGCCCAAAAGCAGGCTTTCCTCCTTTCATCTGCTGCTGTAGACTGTAACCTTGGCAACACAAGTAGATGTTCTTTGGCTGAGAATAAATTTGATTCCCATGCCAATGCATTTCATCCCCTTTGAGGATTTCTGGCCTAGATTGGGATAAAGATGCAAAGAGTACTCAAGAACACAGAAACCTTTACCCCCAAATATAACTTAAATGAATTGTTGAATGTAAACTCTGCCAAGCACTCAATCTTTTCCATTGATTATTTGATTTATTTCTCCTTTAATCCTATTAAACTAAATTATGCTGAGGTAACAAACAGCTAGATATTCTCAGTGAGTTAAAGCCACAATAAACACTCCAGTGTTTATTTCCCATCCAGGTCACACGCTCACCCCCAGGTAATAATGGACCACTGCTCGCTGTAGTCCCGGGGGACCCAGGCTGATGGAAGCTCGCTCACCACTCAGGTTTGTAGAGTTGGGAGCTCAACCCGGGGAACCCAGCCTGTCTCTCTGGTTTCTTCCAGAAATTATACACAGCACTTCTCCTCACAGTTCCATGGCCACAGTCCGCTCATGGTCAAGTCTGGCACCAATGAAGCAGGAATGCATCTGCTCTCTGGGAAAGGGAAAGGCTCATGCATTCAGCAACTCCTGAGACCAGACCAGCGTGCTCATCCTTGGCTTGCACAGTAAAGGGGTTCAGAGAAGACAAGTTCATGGAATAGTTAACAGCCCTCAGATCCAAACCCAGGTCCAGTTCCAAAGCCCATGCTGAAAAATCAGTTCTCCTAGCTGACAGCAGTCCAGCAGCTCTCCACTCAGGTTCCACCACAGCCCTTTTCCCCGAACTACTGACCTCTGCTCTGCTAAAGGTAAATGACAAGATTCTTGCTAACAGAGTCTTCCAATGTTCTGGTTGCTCAGGAATCTGCCTTCCTTCAAGGCGGACCTCCCCCAGCACTGATAAGGTAGACAATCATATTCCTATAAATGAAGAACTATATATTCCCAAAAGGTACAGATGAAATTGACAACTGTGTCCTGTAAACAGTCTGTGACAGACACTGTTCTCAGATGATTCGTGAGACACTGCTTCTCACCAGGCTGAATTGCTGAACTGTCTGCCCTGTGTTGTTCACGTGAACTTACTAGAGAGACCACCCCACTTTGATCAAATGTGCAAAAGTTGAAGTGTATCTTTGTTCAATGCTGCTCCTTTGGACAGGAGTCTGTTGAGCTGGTGTACACCTTAAACCTGAAATAAAATCCTCCTAACTCCCACTGGTCTCTCCTGTCTCTTGGAATTCTGCAACAGTCCCACCTATCAGGACTATGCAGGGTGCCCCACAGAATTATAGGGATGGTGTTGCTAAGCAGATGAGAAAGACCATGATCCCCAAAAGTGGGAAACAGCAAATATTAGGTACTATTACATACGCTGAACTACTTAAGTCTCTGAGAAATTTTACAGTAAAAAAAACCTCATTTAACCCGTAAACATCAGTTCCCAAAGGTATTTGACCAGAGGAGCTACCTCCTTCCACTGTCCCATGGCACCCAGGTCCCCCAGAACATGCACAGGAAATGTTCTGCCACACCTGATTTCACCTCAGGAACCCACAGGATGCATGAATGGAACTGTCATCAAGTAGCGGAGGCCCAGGGCTAGAGTGACTCATCCAGGTCACACAGCCAGGAAGTGGCTGGAGGGGACAAGAGCTGTGCATGGTACTCAGCCAAGCCAGAGCTCCTGGCCAGCTGCTGAATCGCTGTGAAGAGGTCAGAGTGCTTCATAAGCTGGGAAGCACCATTCGAATGCACTGCATGATAGCCCTGAATCCCAATGCTAAGCAAGACCAAAATGCAGAGTATTTGAATGGAAAGACAGTGGCTTCCAGCATACAAAAATTAAATTTCACGAAGATGCCAAATCCTTCCTAAGTTAGCATGTAATGTTTAAAACAACTGTAGTCAAAACCCCAATGTGATCGCTTTACACTGACAAAGTAATCCTAGTGTACATTGATAAAAGCAGTGTGGCCTTCCTCCCGGAAAGCTCCCCAGGACTCTGGCTCTGTGTTCTGGTTTATCTTGTGTCCCTGATGCTTGGTGTGGGATAAGAGGACTGTGGGACTCGGGAAACTGTGGAGAAGAGCTTAGGGAGTTGAGCATAAAGGATAACAGGGGAGCGGGTTTCTCTGTTGGCCATCAGTAAATACAAATCCACATGAAGCAAAGGACCACATAAGACTGCCAGATCAATAATAACAAGTGTGTCTTGAAAATACAACCCTAGTCCTTCCATGAACTTAAAACTGTAAATAAGCAAACAAAATTAGTAAAAAGAGAACAAGCATTTTATTAAAAGCAGTGGATGACTGGGTGGGTGAGTGATAGATCTTCTTTCACATATATTTGCAAGATAAACTTTAGTTCGTTTTGGATGTAAGTTTTTACAAAACAGGAGAAAAATGTACTTCACAATGAGCATGGACTATCCAAGCTTATAAACAAAACTTTACGAGGAAGCAAACCAGAGAAAATAATTTGCAGTAAAAATACATGTATAATGTCATGATAATATATATAGTAATCATGTGACATATATAACATGGCTAATGTCCTTAATATATGAAGTGTTCTTGGCCAAAAGATGTTTCTTAGAAAAATGAGCCAAGCAAATAAAAAGATGTTTTATTAAATGCAGAGTTAAAATATATAAGAAAAATATTGCTTACTGGTGGTCTAGACAATACAAATTCAATAACTAAGCATGCAGTAGAATGTCCACTTTGTGCATTGACCCCGGCAGTCACACAAGGAAGGGTGTGGACTGCCAGCATCGTGTCATCTCGCTCAGGAACTGAGTGGGCAGGGAGTGCATTCGATCTTTCAGTAATTACGATTACATGCTTTCTGAGCCAGGGCAGGGCTCAGGAATTTAGTGGCAGCAATTCAGTGAGCCACCTTGGCCTCTGCATTTCATTTCTTTCTTCCTTCTCTCATACTAGCCACTTCCTCACCCTATTATCTTTTCCTACTCCAAACCTCTGCTGAGATGTTGGTAATGATTTCTGCATTAGTCATACAAGCTGTGCACTACCTATTCCTTGGACTAGATATTCCCTCAAAAACACATTGTTCTATCCTTATGGAATTTCCCTGCTACTATCATTGGGATTGGGTGAACTGCTATGGAGCCTGGACTTTCACATCCACAGGAGAAGAGTAAGGAGAGGGGTTATATAGAGATGGGCATCAGGCTGCAGGACCAACCCAGTCCAGGACACGGGTCCCTGAAGGAGTGCTATGGCTGTGCCTAGCTATTCCCCCAAAGCCTCGTGCAGGTGGGGCTTCTCACAGTTGGCTGGGTCTAGAGTGTGATCCTGGGATCAATGGAGTGTGAGTAATAAATCAGGCCACTGGTTGGTCTGGCATCTGCCCTAAGGTAGGTAGCCTAGCTAGAGTACAAAAGGGGCAGAAGAAGCTGTGGTTGTGGCTTGTTGCTAGTTGCTTGCTTGCTTTGCTGCCTTCTGCCTGCCATGAACTGATTCTCCTCTGCAATGCCCTCTGTCATGTCACTTGTTCTTGGAGCCAGCCGACTATGAACTGAAACTTCTACAAACTGTGAGCCACATAAACTTTTCCTCCTCTAACTTTGGGTGGAGGGCACATTAGGGTATTTTGTCTCAGCAGAGTGAAAAAGTAATCAGGATATGGAGTAACTAGGACCCCATCAAAACCCCAGAGACTTAGGTAAGCCTTGCCATGAGTGACTGACAAGAGGCAGGAAGAGCAGTGTCTGACCCTGGACAAGGCCAGGTTGCAAGACTCAGGAGGGTAGCCAAGAGAATGAGGGAACCAGTGGAAACCAAGGCAGATGGCTGGCTGTTGGGTGCATATTCACTCACTGGCCTTTGGAAGTGTGCTCAGCAGCCTCTCTGCTGGGCTGCATAGAAAACGGAGCTTCCACAATGGTGATGTAGAGCACTCATTCTGGAATCCTTCTGCCCAGCCTCTCCCACCTCCCTCCCCTTTCAGTCCTCATCTCCAGGACTTCACACCTCTTCTGCTCTTCCCTGGCTCACCAAGCCCTGACTTCCTTTAGCTCCTTGACTTTGAGGTCCACCCATGGGCTGGAATATGAGTCTGAGCTGGGTGGGATAGGGAGAAGGCTCCTCAGAGTTCCTTGACTTGTTATCACTCTGGAGCAGAAAGCAGGTCCCCGCAGGCTTTTTTTTTCTTTTAATTTTGTGGATTATCAGGCAGAATACTGTCTTGGTATTTTTAATTGCACAGTAATTATAGTCAGCCTTCCATATTGTTAGTTTCCATACTCATTTATACTACCAAGCAAAAGAAAATTTAAAAATAATGAAAACTGGTATCTGTACTAAACCTGCATATTTTTCTTGTCCTTGTTGCTTAAACAAAAGAGCACAATAAGTATTTACCCAGAACTTACATTGCATTAGATACTATAACCAATCTAGAGACAAGCTAAAGGAGGATGGAGAAAGTTACATGCAAATACTGCACCATTTTATATGAGGGACTCAAGCACTTGTGGATTTGGTGTCTGGGGCCATTGCAGAATCAGCCCACTGTGAGTACAGAAGGAGGACTGCTGCATCTTTGCAGTTCTACTAAATTATAATAATGGGAACCTAATTTGTCCAAATGTTAGTTTCTTTATACTTTAAGAGCCTAGAGATTAAATAGCAATTTAAATGTTAATCCCACTTCTCCGTACATAGAAGACACTTCATTTGTTTACTCAGCAAATCTTAATTATTCCACAGACTTGAGGCCCAGTGGGTTCCAGATGATTTCTAGCATCTGTGGTCTGTTTTATGATGGGAATTCAAAGGGAATCTCAGTACTGAATTATCTCAAAGCTTCCCCTACACAGTAGCTGGGATTAATCTAGAAGTCC